TCAAATCTGAATCAGTCTGTATCAGATCCGTTGCAGCCCCTTTTTAAGAGATTTGGGTATGGAGGAAAATAGAGAGGGTTGTGTTTTCTGGAACACCGGGGACACATATTCATGTAGAAAAGACATACAAAAGTGCATTTTGCATGATAGGTCCCCTTTAAGTAAAGAGAACACCCTTTTCACCCCGGTTACAGTTTCCATTTGCCCTGTGCGATGAAAGTGGGGGATGTTGGCTTATCAGGCGCCCGCAGCTCTCACACACAGAGAGAGCGAGAGAGATACCGGCAGGGATTGTTGTTAGCTTCTGCTGCGCTAACGGATAAAAGAAGCCGTTTCTACAATAATGTGGAGGGAGAGCTCTCCTGTCAGACTGAGAGGCTCAGTGAGGTAAAGGACTCTTGAGGGTTTAGATAGTTCAATTTAGTCTAAGTTATCTCAGAGGGTCTCAAACGGTTTGATCACAATTTATGTAAACACATATTTCCAAGGCACTCCTTTATAATTATTGGGATAAATAAAAACAGATTTGAAATCATTCCAGTGCATACTATAGGACAGAAAACCTGAAATATTATTTCGATCTGGAGAGATTAAAGAATATTCATAAATAAATGTTAAGGTAAAATAAGAAATAAATGAACAACAAAAATAAAATAAGTTACATTTATTTGTTATTGGCTATGGTAGGTTATTGGTTATGTTCACATAGTTATTTGATTATTAAAATGTAAACCGATCTTTTCCATATGGGTGTTAGAGTTGTACCCCCTAGATCTAGTCTCTGGTAATTCAGCTCAAAGTGCAGTGAAGCATTTTACTTTATAATGTAAAAAAAAAAATATTCCCCCCCCGGACCCCCCTAGAGGATGTGATCCCCACAGCACCCCCCATTTGAAACATGTTCCCACGGCTATGCAGCACATTGTTATTAAGTACTATGAAAAGTAGACATGTTTTTAATTGACAAAAGTAATCCTTCAAGATCCCACAAAAAAAGGGAAATGAGAAGTGTAGCAAAATGAAGTAAAATGAAGCAAACTCAGACACAGTTTGTGCATTCAGTGGTTTACTGTAAAGACTCAGGAGACAACAGTTAAATTTCACATCTGACATTAATGAACAAGAGCGGTGAAAATACGGTGACATAATGCACTGATAAGAAGTTCATCATTTTACATTCAATCTTCTGAACTCTTTAAAACCACCTCATTATTTCCCCGAGAACAATTGTCTCAAGTTTTAAAAAAGACTCCATACATCTTCATTTCCATTGCGTCTTTAAAACCATGTTTCCCTTACAAAATATTTTTAAATAAACATTATTAGAACCTAAAACTGATTCAAAAATCCATCAAACGTTTGTTTTAAAACATTCCAACAAGAACTGGATTCAACGTCAAAATCTGACTTTTCTAAATAAAGAATCATCCGCCTTAAAGTGACCTTTAACCTCTTTACGCCAGATAACACTAACAACATGTGTAGCAGCAGAAACTCTGAAACATGGGACATGTAACAGACACTCACTCAGCTTACAAAAACATGGCGGCTACAGTTTGAAACTCAGCTGGCACTTCCTGTTCCACATGAAGCCGCCGGTGAGGCCTGAGGAGGGCGAGGGGCGGGCGATGCTGGAGAACGGTCTGGAGTTGATGCTGATGCGAGGAAGCTCCTTCTTCAGAGAGGACAGGTGGCCGTCGTTCACGATGCCAAACACGTCCAGCAGAGAGAGAAGAGGGAACATGGAGCCCAGGTCCCTGCAGAGAGAGAGGAAGGTTTGTTTAAAGGCTCATTCAAGACTAGAAACTAACATCGCAATAAAAAGAAAATAGCATTACAAAAAAAGTTGTTGGGTTTACTTTATTGATCCCAATTTGGGCTAGGGTTAAAATAGCATTAAAAAAAAGTTGAAAATATACACAAGGTTAGATTAGGTTAAAATAAGAAGTACTTTATTAGCATTAAAAAAAGTGGTTTTGATTTATTGAACGTGTAAAACAATAATACAAAAAATAAATAATAATTAAATGAAACAAGATAATTATGATACAATACAAATCAAAGCAGTATCAAACTGATAAACAAACATATTATTGCCTTACAAATTATATATATATATATTATTCTTTTACATTGTATGTCATATTTGATAAGACAAATATAAAAAGAATATCTTTTTACATGCACCATCCAAAATACATTTGTTATTAAAAACAACAGGTTAGGTTTTTACGGAGCCCCCTAGGGGACATGGAGAAGGAAAAAAAAAAAGTATTTGAAATAAAAAAAATGTACATTTTATATACTTATTGAAAACAAGCTACAAAATGTAACACCTTGGAAAATGCCGTTTCATACTTTTGAATAGCCTTAATTTTCGCTAAATCTATTTATCAACTTGTAATACTTTTTAAGACCCCGCGGACACCCTGTGTAAACATCAATAGAAATAAAATAGCATGAAACAAAAGTAGAAAGGTTAGGTTTTAGGTGTACAATATTATATACGCAATACAATTGGTGTAATTGTTGAATATTTGCTTTCAATGATTTGCCCTAGACTTCTGCTTTCAGACGTAGTTATTACCGGAACTGATAATAATCCAATGCAGAGGCAATAATATAATATATATTTATATAGAAAAGCCAAGAGTGTGCAAAGCTGTCATCAAGGCAAAAGGGGGATAATTTGAAGAATCTAAAATATATTCTGGATTTTTCTTTTACACTTTTTTGTTTACTAGATAATTCCATATGTGTTCTTTTATAGTTTTGATGTCTTCAGTATTAATCTACAATGTGGAAAATAATTCAAATAAATAAAAAACCTTCGAATGAGAAGGTGTGTCCAAACTTTTGACTGGTACTGTATGTTTATAAAGTTAAAACCGGCCTTTTGAGTGTAACCATAATGCTGATGTGGCCCACGATGACATTTAGTTTTTCACCCCTGGAATAGTAGGTTAGGAAAAGAGGATAGGAGCTGGTTTTGAGGAGACTCACGTGAGGGCAGCGAGGTGGATGTGGTAGCAGCGGCTCAGAGAGAGATGGAGCAAACCCTTCAGCTGTCTGAGGACCGGGAAGCTGTCGGCCATCAGGAGAGTGCTGTCACTAAAGTACAACAACACAACATTACACACAGAAAACAGCTCGTCATGCTGATCGAATGATAAACCAGCTGACGAACTGGGACATTATGTTCATTTTTAGGGTCACTACATCTACTGAATATTAATGAAAAAGATCTCACCTTAAATCTAGCGCTTGAATATTTGGACACCTGGTCACCAGCACCTTCACATCTGAGACAGACACGCCGTGTGTTAAAACAGGGTATATGCAGGAATCCTGAAGTCAAATTTAATACCTTTTAAGACCTTTTTTAAGACCCTTTCCATACATTTTAAGACCTCATCGCAACTTTGAGTTCTAACCGGTTACATTGGCTACACACTTTACCTCACATTTACTATATTGATTGTAAGATAGCACAACTAAACAGAGTGCAGACAGACTACTGAAGCCTCCTCTCCACATGAACTTCAACCTCTCTGTGAAGGTCAGGTTTAATGCAGTATGCTGCTTTGTTTCTTCTGTACTCTGTGCTCTTTCATTCCAGTAAAACTCCTCAGAAACCAGTATTTGACCAATAAACAAAACAATTGACAAAACTTTGAACTATGAAATATGTTAAACTTTGGTGAGCTTCAGCAGGGTAATGCCATATAGGAGCTCCCTCACAAATACCCAGGGGTTAAATTGGGCTGGGGCTGTCCGGGGCTAAGCCCTGGCACATAGGACGATGCTCTGACGTCATCACCCTCACACATTTGTCATATGTTTACAAAAAAGGATATATATGTTAAGACTTTTCTCGTTCTTAATATAGACTATATTTAGGGTCTATATGTGTTGACTTTACTTTAAAATAGCCAGATCTCAGTGACCGGACTATAGTTTGGCTTAGAACCCCCAACCGGCCCCACCGGTACGCTCGCAGCAGGCTTTCGTTCACAGCACACGCTTCGATTCATTAACGTGTCCGTTCACACTAGACGCTGGAAATGCTGGAAACGATTGTAATACATATGTCAGGCCTGTAGGCCTAAGTGGCGCTGTTGCCCGCCCGAAATACACCAAAAGCAGCCGAAGTAGACCCGGGAGCATGGTTGCCATGGTTGCCTCTGTTTATTCTCCGCAGTGGACGGCGTGTTCTCCTGCTGTAATATCTCAGGGATCCACCAAGCAAGATGGAAAACACCCACCTCTCCATCCTTCCCAAGGAACGAGGGGACCGTGCGGCAGAGTTTCCGATAAATAAATGTTCCGCCGGTCAACATGTCCGTTAAAGTTTTAATCTTCCGTACAAAATTAGGAAAGTGCCGGTCAGAGGTCTTCTTTGTTATTTATTGAGCTTTAAACAAATTGATAACGCACTCTGTTCTCTGTATAATAATATAAGAATATTAATAAACGGTGACTGCCTCTCTTTTCCTCCCCCTCTTCTGACAGCCCACAGCAGCCAGGAGACGTGGGAGAGGAGGCGGGCTCTTTCATCGTTATCAGAAATGATCATATAGGGACACACACGGAGCCGTTGGACCCCCAGAGCGTTGCGTATGCCGGTCCTCCCACCTTGGGAACCCGTTACCGTAGTCGTTATTCCACCCCCACCCTCACAACAGAGCGGAGCAAGGCAATCAAAACTTAAATATAAGCAGCATTTTAGGCGCGCTATGCATGGGGCCGCCTTGTGGGTTTCCCGACAGTCGTTTCAGAAATTAAAAGGGTGTTTTCATGTTGTCGTTGCTGTGGGACCTTTCTTAATACCCTGGAAAATGCCGTTTAATACTTTTAAAAGCCTTAATTTTCGCTAAATTGATTTATCAACTTTTTAATACTTTTTAAGACCCCGCGGACACCCTGTAAAGAGGTTCATTTCCAATCCCTTTTTCCCTCCTTCCTACAATAAATACTGGCATGGGTAATGCCATCTGTCGGATGTTTACCTTCCAGTGTAAAGGCCCTCTCTGTACCCGCTGAGGTTCAGGTGAGTGACAGCCGGGGTTCAGATTATTAATCAACACTCTTCACGTGATGTTGTCGAATTCACACCACGATATGTTCACTGCTCTATCCTGAAAGAGGAGCAGACCAGACACCAGC